TATATATATATATATATCCCGGGCTAGACTTGAACTCCTTGACCCGCCTACCTCTGCTTCTTTGGCATATTCTACTGGCATGTATCATCGCATCTGTTGTAATTCTTAACAATTGTTCTTCTCATTGCCTTAAGTTAACATACAGAGAGTGGGTTTCATCATGGCATTTCACTTCCCTTACACTTCCTTTTCTCCCCTCTCCCACAAACAGTTACAAAGTTAGTGTCCTCAGAGCGGTGCTAAGGGTGGGCAGCACGCAGAAACTCTGACACCAGAGACCTGAGAGAGACCAGGACCCATGCTGGCAAGTTCAGGCTGCAGTGGGGTGTGACCCACTCTCAGAGTCTGGATGTAAAGCATCCCCAGCACGCTCCTGTGTGTCCGGACATTTAGTTCTTAGCTGCGGTGCTGTTTAGGGAGAGTGTGGGACCTAGCTGGAGGAAGTGGGTCTCAGGGAGCAGGCCTTGGTAATTGCAGCCCTGCTCCACTTCCTGTCCTGTCTCTGCTGTCTGATCTGAAAATGCAAGGAAGCCGCTGGCTCGCACCCCTGCTCCCCCAGCTGCCCTTGCTACTGTACCTTCTCTCCCAAGGTAGCCTGCCCTCAAACCCGGAGCTGGGGGATTCCCTTAAGTGGCTTCTTGTTAAGTGTTTGGTTGCCGCAGCAAGAAGAGTAACTATTCATCCACTCCCGTGTCTCTCCCCAGCTAAAATTCCCCCGATTTGATCTGGAATATCCTGCTTGTTTGAGCTCTGGCTGATGTATAGTATCTTACTTATTCTTCAAAGACATCAGTAAGGTAGGGACTTACCAATAACCATGAAACGGACGCATTGATTTGTGTTTTCTCATTCATGCTATGGAGTGGGTGAGTTCAAGCATTGTCTGGACTCCAGCCTCCCCCTTCCCACCACAGCCATGGGGCAGCAGTCCTTTTCAGCTTTCTCCTAGGCTTCTGGAAAACCAGGATGCTTGAGAATGGCCTGTTCCTGGAGCGGTCCTTGACCGAAGGCTGTCTGTGGTCCCACAGTGCCACGGCAGTGTCTTTGTCTCTTGCTGGGACAGCTGTGGAGTGCACCCTCTAGTCCCTGCAGGATTAGGCTGAAGCGGCCTTCTCTGTGGATATAGTCCTGCTTGTTTGTCCATGTACTGCTCCCTGTTTCCCTGCTCCCCTTGATTTTCTGGGGAATACGGGTGTGCGCTACACTGGAGTAGGACATTATCCGCTGTGTGTGCTTCTGAGAGAGAATTCAGAAGCCATATTTAGGGATGACGTCTCAGTTCAGAGTACAGGTGATCCCTGTCAGGCTAGTGATGTGTCACCTTGAAACACACTGACTTCATTCAAGAGCTCTTCTTTATGCTTCTTTATTGAATTTGCATGTAGAAGGAGAGCCTAAGAACCAAGGGGGAAGATTTCAAGAAGTCGGCGTGTCAAATGATTCCATTTCTATGTTGGCAACCGGTTCAGGCTCTGATTCAGGACTTCACTGTTGCAGCAGGCAGATGACTCTAAAGGGGATCTGTTCAGGTCTGGAACCCAGAGTCCCGGAGGATTCACATCACAGGTCTCTCTTCTAGGGCCATGTTCTGCAACGACTTAAAGGAGAAGTATGAGAAGAGGATCATCATTAAAGGGGTGGACGCTGAGACCATGCACGCTCTCCTGAACTACACGTACACAAGCAAGGCTCTGATCACCAAGCAGAATGTTCAGCGCATTCTGGAGGCTGCCAATCTTTTCCAGGTGTGTGAACCAAGTTCCGTGCTCTTCTTTGAAGTGAATGAAAGCAGGGAGCCCTCAGAGACCTGCTTAGGCTGGCTTCCAGAGCTGTATCTGGAATTTATACACACACACACACACACACACACACACACACACACACACACACACAGACACACAGAACAGAGAGACCTGCTTAGGCTGGCCTACAGACCTGTATCTGGAATTTACACACACACACATACACACACACACACACACACACACACACACACACACACACACAGAGCAGAGAGACCTGCTTAGGCTGGCCTACAGACCTGTATCTGGAATTTACACACACACACATACACACACACACACACACACACACACACACACACACACACACACAGAGGGGGAGTGAGAGAGCGAGCAAGCTTACCTGAAGGTCAGAAGATGCTTATTCTTTGGGCACTTAGTGACAGGTGATGGGGTGGGGTGTTGCCTGCATGGCCATACAAAGCCGGGACGGGGGTGGGGTGTGGCGGGGTGTGGTGCCGAGGTATCTGACTGCAGCCCAGTGGCTGCCAGGTGTTGCAGCCCAGCTAGAGCCAGTGGTCCAGCAGCTCTTCCTGCATGCATTGATCTTATCGTAAGTGAGACACGGAATTAAGGCGATGCAGAGGACGCCTAAAAGTGCTGTGGTTTGAAACCGAATTTTCTGATCGAAGAGACTGCTGCTTGCCGCCACAGCACGCAGCTTTCGGGTGATGCTGTCTAGATATGGGGGAACCGAGACACTGTGTGACAAGCACTTTGTGGTGTCTGTGAAAGAAGAGCGTTGAGAGGCAAGAAGTGTCACAGAGGAGGGAGGACTTGAGAGTTACACTTTATTTTAAAGTGACACATTGTTTCTATTCAGTAATATTCCCTTCATATGATTGTAGCCATTACACTAGCTTCATAAAATAATTAGACTATGGATAATATCAGTTGCATCAATAATTATAACAAGGGTCCCACCCAAAGTTATCATCTTTGCCTAGGTCTAGGATCATACTATTTAACTTGATTCCATTGAATTAATGTTGTCTCATTGCCTAGAAGTGGAAGAAACAGAGTCCAGGTGTAGTCCAGGTCACTTCCAGGGACCGGGGATAAGTATCCAATCTTGTGCATGGCTTGTTTCTTGTGGAGGTGGTGTCGGCTTGTGTCATAATGAACTTGGTAGTTGAAGGGAACAGAACCCAGAGTCTGAGAAGGTAAGTATCTCCGAGGGGCTCAGGGTCCAAGACTATTGGCAGGGGGATTAGCTCTGTTGAGGGTAGAGTCAGGGAGGGATTTGTAAGGTCTGACAAAAGACAGGATCAGGGAAAGGAAATAGAAAATCCACTCCAAAGCAGTCCTGAGGGATTTTGAGTAACAGGTGGCCACCAGTTTAGTAAGTTTCATTGGCTCGGTTCCTCAGGGCATCTTGAAGATGCCAGGCCAGTTATTTCCGGCTGGGCTGATTTTCTGATGTCCCCAAATCAGTTAACACTCACTGCCCCGACTCTCTCTCTGTGTGCTCACCATCAGCCTCTTTGATTGACAGGAAACCGTTCTTCCTTATGGGGAGGGGGCACTCACCAACTTCATGCTCAGTGTTTATAGTTCATCCGCTCCTGCCCACTATCCAACAGTCTACCCTCAGAGCAATCTTTCTGTGTCGAGGAAGGATTCTGTGTCAGGGAAGCTCCAGCAGTCCTTGTTATTTTCATGCTCATTTCCTTTATTGGGACGTAGGGAGGGATGCCGACTTGTCTAAAGATGGGAACTGGCAATGGTAATAGCTGTGACATTTATTGTTACAGATACAGTGTCTGGCACCAAAGTAGATGCTCAATGAACACAAATTCTATTTTTCTGAATGACCAAGTCTGGAGTAGTCATCAAGTCTCCCGATTCTCTCACAGTCTCAAAGCAGGTGTCACACAATAAAAAAGATCTACTTTTCTCTTTAAATGTACTTTTTAGTACTTTTATTTGTAGTATTTTTTTTTGTGTGTGTGTGTAATGTGATGTGTGTGCCCATGCCAACAGAGACCAGCAGAGTGTGTCAGATTCCTTGCAGCTAGACTTAGTAGCAGTTGTGAGCTGACTGATGAGGATGCTAGGAACCAAACTTGGGTCATCCTGCTGAGCCAACTTTCTAGACCCTAACCCCCAGACTCAGTTCCGGGGTGTGTTGGGGGGTTGTACTGGGGCAGCTGCTTTGCATGTCAGCTGATCTGCAGAGCTGGGGTTCACAGGAGTGTGTGGGATAAGCGTGTATCGGAGTGGGGCCTCCTGCAGCCTGTAGCTTTACTAGCTGGGGTGTGTAAGGAGCACTGTGTGTACTCTAGCTGTCAGAAGGGCACACCCTCCTACTTCCTGGGTCAGGGAGTGTGCCCAGCAGCAAGTGGCTTTGCTTACGTCATTCACCCGTTTGTATCCTAACCCAGGTGTGTTGCTTCTTCTTTGAGCATACTTACAATCACTCGTTTGAGCTCTCTGTCTGGGATTTCATTTAATTCACCCTCACTAGATGTCGTACTGTGGAATTAACTTTTGGAGGAATTATGCTATCTTGGCTTTTCACAGGTTACGTCCTTGGACTGTGTGTACTTGGTGCTATTTCTTTGCGTGGTTTAGTTTTTTTTTTTTTTTTATCTGCTGTGTTCTTTTAGTTGAAGTATTTGCAATGTTCACATGAGACTTAGGTGTGGTAGAATTGAGTGTTCAGAAAATAGTTCCATAGTCCAGCATCTCAGAAGGCCTGGTGTCAACTATATATTACTGTTGGAGTGGGCTATTAATTGTGAGAGCGACCACGTTGACATTTGGATGTTTGATATACTATGCAGGTGTCGTACTACACACACACACACACACACACACACACACACACACACACACATGCACACGCACACACACACTGAAAAGTTCTTAAAATAAATAAATAATCTAAATAGATACTCCTCAAAAGAAGACCTATCAATGGCTTTTTTAAGGCAGACATTTCTTCTGGTAACTGTGGCCATGTCTCTTTGATGGTATTTTAGGAGTTCCTGTGTGGTCGTGTCTCTTTGGTGGTATTTTAGGAGTTCCTGTCAAAGAGTCAGGTGTTTACTGTAACTTTTTATTCACTCATCCCTCTAAACAGGAAACTGGCTACCTGTGGCCATTATTTGTCATCTCTCTCTTCTGAAAACCAAGTTCCAGGAACAGCATGCTGAAAATTTATCCAAAGGCAAATAATATAAAACACGGTTTCTTGTTCTCATGACTGCCTTGCGTGCCAGCAAATTCCTAGCTACTGGCTGGATCACTCTGAAGTGCTTGCTGACACATATTTGGGGAGAACTTAGGCAGTCAGAGAAATCTGCCTTCCCCTGTGGTCGTAAGGTCTCTTGAGAGTCTCCTGGCTTTTTCTTAGCTCGGCAGTGCAAGCCTGCACTCTCCTTAGCAAGCAGGCAGCTGAGGGAACATCTCGCCTCCCGCTATGTATCCTCAGGCAGTGTCTTTTACTCCAAATTCTCTATTTCCTCCTCTCTACAGATGTGATCTGAATATCCTATTTACTAATTAAATAAAAGCGATCCACCAAAAATAGTTTGTTAAGTGCAATGACAGATGAAGAAGCGCACGGGTCTAAGTGCATTCCTGATGTCTAGTACATGTCTTCTTCCTCTATCTGGCCTTTCCAGCTTGCCCGCTGTCAGACTTTTGTAGTAGATAATGCTGGAAATAAAAACAAAATCATGACCTAGAACCTTTGAACTGCTTGACCTGGCTGGGCCGAGCACCCAGCCGAGCCGTTACAGGCACCTCCACGGTGAGGCTGAGGAAGGGATGAGGATTGGTTCCACATCAGAGAATTAATAATCATTTTTCATGTCTCCAAATACCAGTGCTTGTAAACATTTCTCTGACTTAATTTGTTGCTTAGATCGAGCATCCCAATATGGTCCATACTTGGTAGTAAGTTGATATATCTCCTAAATCTCTCCTCTTTAATATTTTTATTCTGTGATAATTTATACATGCATATAATGTTTCTTGATCATATTTACACCCTATTTCTCCTCTAACTCCTTCAGGACCCACCCTTGACCCTTCATCCCTCCTCCCAACTTCACGATCCCCCCTTTTTAAAAACAAGCCACTGAACCCAGTTTGTGCTCCACACAGACTCATGGATGCAGGCAGAGCTCTTGATCTACACTGCCTCCTCCTTCTCTGCCTGTTTTGCACCTGTAGCATATTTACAGAAGAAATCAAACCCGTTGTTCCATGGAGTTTCCCACCATCTAGATGTGGCGGGATGTATGTTCACGCTATCATATGTCTACTTCTATAATTTTTCTGTAAATTGATGATTAGATCTAGAGGCTTAAATTTAGGAAAAATAGCTCGATGGCAGAGCACTCGCTTGGCACGATGCTGCGTGTTCCACCCCCAACACTACAAAATAAACAAAAATAAATCCAGACGTTTGATCAGGTTTAGTGCACTGATTTGAAAACCCAACACGTTACATTTTCCACGTGACTTAATGTGATCTTATGTTTTTAAATTATTCGTGGAGTTGTTGGCTGTGAGACTGTTGGACATTCGGCTGTTTCTAAGTTTTTGCTGGCACACACTGATCAATGTTCTTGTGGACTAATCACTTCCTGGCTCCCTCCCTTTTGTTAGTTTCTGCAGCTGGTGGACGCCTGTGCCAGCTTCCTCACAGAAGCCTTGAACCCAGAAAATTGCATTGGAATACTGAGGCTGGCGGACACACACTCCTTGGACAGTTTAAAGACGCAAGTTCAAAGCTACATCATTCAAAACTTCGTTCAGATTCTGAACTCTGAGGAGTTCCTGGAACTTCCGGTGGATACCTTGTATCACATCTTGAAGAGTGACGACCTTTGTGTGACGGAGGAGGCTCAGGTGTTTGAGACCGTGATGAGCTGGGTCCGCCACAAACAGTCAGAACGACTCTGCCTCCTCCCTTGTGTTCTCGAGAATGTGCGCTTACCGCTTCTGGACCCGTGGTACTTCGTGGAGATGGTTGAAGCAGATCCTCTCATTAGACAGTGTCCTGAGGTCTTCCCACTGCTGCAGGAAGCCAGGATGTACCACCTCTCTGGCAATGAGGTAGGTTGGATGTGAGAGGTTGCTGCGTTTCATCACCAATGTAAGGAGTTAGCCAGGGCTCTCAGAAATGCAAGTGACCCCTGCTCACAAATTCCCAGGACAGCAAACAGAGGAGTCAGTCATCCCAGAAGCTGGGGATCCCTGATCTGTGTAGTGAGGATGATAGTACATCTCCACATAGCTGTGGGGAGGATTTAGTGAGAAATGGAAACCTCTCGACACGGTGCCTGTGACCTTCCTCTGCTCAGTTGTGTGTGGTCTCGTTCAGTCACCCTTCGGAAGGGGTTCTACTTCCTTAAATTCTCCCACTCTCGTGAGAATTTGTATCTGTTGTTCTAGTCTGACATTGCCTAGATCCAGAGTCTATCATTTCTTTCCTGAACTCATAGAAATTTTCTAGACCTCATCACTGTGCTCCCTGTCTGGTCTCCCGCCAACTCATCCCTACTCCTGGGATGGTGGAAGATGCAGTGTGAACTTTGCTCCTGGCCTGACCTCTTCACTGGCTCTCCATCACTTCGAGGAAGCCATCCATTCTTTCTCCTAAAGCTCCCTGAACTCTGATCCACTAAAATACCTCCTACCCAGGTCTCTGGCATCATTTATCACACACTTTTACTGCGTATGTTTGTATTTTGCTTTTAAAAATTAAAAACAAATTAAATTAAAATCCATTTTTGAATTAAAATACAATCACAAAATGTTCCCTTCCCATGAACTCCCTCTAGCTCTTCTCCTGTATCTCCCTTATGCTCAAATTCATGGTCTCTGTTTTCTTTAGTTGTTGATGTATGCATTCTGCTGCGGTTTTGACGTACTGTGTCCAGTTCCCCCAAAGGATATGTCTTTCCAGCCTTCAGGACAAGGCGGATACTGTCTAAATGCTTCCTTCTTCCTATTCCTGACTTCGGCTTCTACTCCAAAATTCAATCCGAGGTCACCTTCTCCAGAGGACCCTTTGTGTTCTTATGGCCATTGGCTCAATCTTTGCTCGTGACACCAAATGCCACATGGTAACCACTGAATTCATCATCTCGTAAATCTTCTAAACTTGCAGCTTGTTATAGTAGGAATTGGGTGCTCCTGGGCTTTTCATCTCTAGATCTTAGGAGGAATCTCTGGTGTGTTGTGAACATCGATGTTTATGGACGACAAAATGGGCACCGAGAAAGCATCTGTTCTTAACTGTTCTCCTTTGCAAATTTTGAAGATGTTTTTCACTCAGAATCTTGTAAAGACAAGGCCGGCTTTAGTGGAGGAGCAAGCTCACCAGGAAGCTATAGTGTGGGGAGAGTTTGCTGCTGATTTACACTCATGAAACCTCATATGTGCCTATCACCGTGTGAAAGTTCCAAACCTCATCTGCAGGGTACAGTAGAAACCTCAGCCCAAAGTTGTTCAGGAATCGTGTCTGTCTGCTATTCCTCTGGAGGATGTCCTTTATCTGTGTGGATCTCCGTATTTCTTGGTTGCTCTTAGAACAGTTTGCTTCTTGTCTGTCCTTCACAGGTATCCTGAGTGTTTGGTATTACAGGTTTGGCCAACCCGGAGAGGAGATTTTCACTTCAAATCACATCATGCTAACAGGCACAGTGCTGCTCGTGTTGGCTGTTTCTTCTCAAACTGAGTTGCAGAGAATTTTTCCATCCATACAAGTAGCGTATTTGTTGGCATAAGGCTGTTCATAATTTCCCCTCATCATTAATACTATCTGTAGACTATGTAGTGATGGGGATTTGTACTGTCTATAGAATCTATGGTAATGTAGCATCTTAAATTCCAGATAGTGGCTCTCTGTGCCCCCCACCATTGGTCTTGCTAGATATATCATACATTTTGTTGACTTTTCTCAATAAACTAATTTCTGATTTCATTTTATTTTCTCTGTTTTCTTCTATTTAATTTTCTTTCTATTTTGATCCTGATAGAATTCTTTTTTTCTGTTTACTTTCTGGATTTGTTGTTTTTCCCTCTCTGGTTTCTTAAAGAAGAAGTTGAAGACATTGATTTGAGACCTTTCTTTCTCCTACCAGTATTACCCCATATGGAATCACTACATAATGAATTACCCTACAATTTCACAGTTTAAAGCAGCAGGCAGGGATGTGGATCCATGGTAGAATTCTTGCCTCACATGCATGATGCCCTGTGTTCAATCCTACACTGCAAAAGGAAAAAGAAGAAAGTCAAACCCAGTTGGGTTGCTCTGACTAAAGTCTCTTACCAGGCGTTGGTCCATCTATTATCTATTGGCTTAGACTTCAGCAATCTCAAAGTTCAGATGAGATCAGAACTTTCACATGATACTCACTCACAGTATTGCGGGCAAGCATTAGTTCCTGACTGGCTATTGGCTTGAAGCTGTGGCTTCTTGCCATGTGGTCATCTACATAGCAGATGGCATTCTTCCAGAGCAACTTACCTAAGAGAGACTAAGAAAGCAATCGATATGAAGGCTTTAGTGCCTTTACTAGTCTGGTAGAACACCATTTCTGCTGTAATCTTTTGGTTAGAGAGACTGATTCTGGACCAGTATAGAAGGAACTATGTGGGCTCTGAGTTCCGGGAGGAAGACATTACTTGAGGCCATTGTAGAGACTGGGTACCACAGTGATTTGTATTGTAAAAAATAGTAGTAGACAGCTACCTTGGTGACCTGTCTTGCCCATCCATCTATTCATCCGTCTATCCATTCGTCTGTCGGTCTGTCCATCTGTCCATCCATCCACTGACTCTTAGAAATCTGAAAGACCCAGATACTGTTCTTGGTGCTAAGAATCCATTAGAGAAAAAGGGATGTCCTCATAGTAAATTATAAGACTGTCCTTGAAGCCTTGCCTACAGCACCAAAATCTTCGCTGAACAAAGATGACCAGCTTGTGTTGTAGCCTGTGCCTCAGCTGTGGGGAGGGAAGGTTTGGGGACAGAAACCAGACTGATGTTGGGAAGAAAGCTGCAGAGAAGCAGAGTTTGTCTATGGTGCCAACTCATTGCTTAAGTCCTTGGTACCTTCAAGTGTCTCCAAGTTCTCTGGTCCGCTGCTCCCCTCCTTACTCTGTGGACTTTCTTCTGTCTATGCTCTCAGGCTCAGCACAGTGGTGAGGATTTATCCTGCCTCGTGTCTCCCCATTCTTCCTTTGAACTCACAGCTAACAAATGTTATGGCCACAGTCAGAGGTGAAAAACCGGGGATGCAAAATCGACTGGATCTGGCTCTTTCGCACAGAAAAACAAATAACAAACAAAATTTCTGGAAGAGCAAAGGTGGGGTGTTGGCTGATGCTTTGTGAGCTTTTCATGGGGAGACACAAGCTACCAGATTCACTCTAGAGAGGGCACTAATGGCAGACCAAAATAACGGTTCCACTGAGGTTCAACTTGGTGAGCTAATAGTTTATTGTACTTACTTACAGAGCATAGGTGAGGGGTGACCCCCGAGCAGCTGCATCCCTGAAAGGTCTCACCTCATTATGAATGGTGATGTTGTGCGAACTGCACCATAGAGTCCCATTTTCACTTATCCAATGACTTCCTGTTTGCTGTAGCGTTTCCCAAGATCACTTGCAGATGGAGGAGAGCAGGAGACAATTGGACTCCCAGATAAAGGCCCCTCTTCCTTCTACTCGGGAATGTTAGTAGCATCAGTGAGCATCTCCATAAACTCGTCACTGTAATATTATATAGTGGGCTTGGCCTAGGGCTTGGTGTATAGTGAGTATTAGAACACAGATCCTCTTACTGTTTCTCCCCCCACCCCCACCCCAAATGAGCCTCCCCTGCCCCCAGCTATCTTTCTAGGACAAACAGTTGGTAAAGAAAAAAAAAAAAAAGCATTCTGTGCTACAGGCTGGTAGGCCCTCCCCCTTGTACCAGCAGGACAAGCTTCTGGTCCTTCCTGCTGCCTGCTCCATGACCCTTGGCAGGTAGGATAGGACAGACGGTAGTGCCTGTGTGGAGCTTGCCTAGCTCCTGAACATCCATGAGTCAGAAACACCTTTTCTTCTTGGGATTTGAAGCAAAGACTCTCTGTCTTTGTCTCCCCAACCCCTCATAACACACTCACACACTCACACACTCACACACACACACACACACACACACACACACACACACACACACACACACACACACACACATTCTCTCTCTCCCAATGAAGACCTTCTGAAGGGTGATGTGTGACAGCTCCTCCCCATGGGCCTGCCACCCTAGTCTTCCTTTTTCACATTATGACAATAGGTATTGAGTAAATGTTAACTTTGACTTTCATTCCACGAGTTCAGGTTTCAGAGCAGGCAGTAGAGAAGAGGCAGGAAGTGCATTTGATGGTAAATAGACTTTTGTCTTACAGCAGCAACAAAAACGACAGGTAACAGTTTATTCGGTACCTGTTACACAGCAGGCCCTGGGTCTACACATTCCGTGAACTATGCCATTTAATATGACAAACCCACCGGGTAGTTAGCATCAAAAGCCATTGCACAGAGGATGAAACCATGGTCAAGGAGAAGTCACGAGGCCAACAATGGTCGAGGTGGGGATTGGGACCCGCCTTCTGTGGTTCCGCAGCCTAAGCTCCGCTCCATCGTGCTGTGTTCCACCTGCCCACACATCCTCTCCTTGATTTCTAGATTATTTCAGAGCGCACCAAGCCCAGGATGCACGAGTTCCAGTCTGAGGTGTTCATGATTATTGGCGGCTGTACCAAAGAGGAACGGTTTGTGGCAGAGGTGACCTGCCTGGATCCCCTGAGGCGCAGTCGCCTGGAGGTGGCCAAGCTCCCACTGACAGAGCATGAGCTGGAGAGTGAGAATAAGAAGTGGGTGGAGTTTGCCTGTGTGACATTAAAAAACGAGGTCTACATCTCAGGTAAGCGGGAGGCTGGGATCAAAGCAGTCCCCCCCCCCCGTGTCCCCCCCCCCATAGCATCCTACACTTTCCTAAATGGAAACCAACCAACCGCCCTGCAAGAATGTCTGAGTTCACCGTGGTCTAGCTCTGTGGGTCAGGATATGCGGCCAGGAGCGTAGGTGGTCTTGTCCTGGAGAAAACATTATCACTTAATAAATACTGATATGTGAGCAGCACAGACAGCTCCAGACCTCATGGAGGAACAAAAATGAGAGTAATGTCAGGGCTTGTTCAGTCTGTTGTAGGCGCCGGGCACTGATCTGGGTATACGACTAGTAATGAAATGTCTTATCCCGCCATAAACCCAACCTTCCCTAATTTCTTAGACATTCTATGATACATGTCTACTGAAGTAATATGAACACGTATTCATTTTCATTGCTAACTTAATCATTAACAGTTCTTTGTGCTCGCCTTCTCCTTAGATGTGAAGTTCCATGAGCGTTAACACACACTCTCTCTCTTACCTAGCAATGAAGATGCTCAGTAGATGTTTGTTAATGATGCAGTCACTGTCATCTTTAGAGCTTAGTAGGTAAACCAATGGCATGCAATTACCAGTCACAGCAGGGGAGGCCAGATGATGAAATAGGAGAAAATGGGACTCAGAGAGGTTCTGGAAGGTAATGTAGGTTACATCCTGGTACTGGACAGGATCACCATCCAGGGCTAAGCCCAGTCCTTCTCACTCATCTCCAAAGGAAGACAAACATTCCCTTCCTAATCCTATGTATTTGTGTCCTCCAGAGGGTAACGTTAGCTGTTCTCCGGTTCTGTTCTTAATATTGATTAGGCTATAAGTTTCTTTTTACTACAGAAATACCATATGATTTGAACAATACGGAGAATAGAAAGTAAAATATGGCAGTTTTTTGGTTCCATGATAATTTCCCATGTTTTCATAAAATATTTTTATATTCTATTGGGATGAGTAATACTAGCTATTTTTAACAAGTCCTAAGTCCCATCTAATGAATGAACACAGGGGTATGTGGGAGTGGTGGGGTCAGGAGGCCATCACTCAACTTAGGCATTCAGGGGCTCGGGTTCCCTCTGACTTGTGATTCTGCCATCTCCCACACATGGCCTGAAAGAGAAGACACATCTATTCCACAAAGCCATGGCCTGCAAAGGCCACAAATAGTCCACTGGCGAGAGCCAACAGTGTGCCCTTCTTTCCCAGAATAGATGTGGGGTTGGCAATGTCATTTAGTTACTTGTCCAGGAAGGAAGGTTTGGTAATCAGAATTGATCTCTGCCACTGCACATGTATTTGCTGTTTGTAATCTACTTGAAAAAAAAAATACTCTAGCAGACATTTGCACACACATAGTTTCTGCACTTGTGGAAAGACTCCTAGAAGTGGTCGTAAGGTAAGTGATTGCAGGATTTGTCAGTTGCTATATTGTCCTCTACAAAGATTATACATTTTCGCCAGGTGGCGGTGGCGCACGCCTTAAATCCCAGCATTCGGGAGGCAGAGCCAGGCGGATCTCTGTGAGTTCGAGGCCAGCCTGCAGCCTGCTTTACAGATTGAGATCTGGGACAGGCACCAAAACTAAACAGAGAAACCCTGTCTCAAAAACAAAAACAAACAAACAAACAAAAAACCAGATTACACATTTTGTAGCTCAACCAGTGCACATTTTCTATATCACTAATAACAGTTGTTATCACCAATTATTTCTGATGTAATAAACTAAATATATACATTTACACTCTTGTATCTTTAGTGGTGTTGGGTTGATTTTCATAGAATACTGGCTAACTGGATTTATTTTAAAATATGTCTGCTCATACATACTCTTTGGCTGTTTTTTTATTGCTTCATGTTTGTCTTTTATTTACTAACTTTTTGCATTCCTTGTTGAATATCCTTTGCTTTGTGGTGTAAATACTTCCTCTTCAGGTGGTGGCTGTCTTTTACCTTTGATTTATATTTTCACAACAACTTTCTTTGCTGTGAGATTCTAATTTCATGTCATGTTCTCCAAATCACTGAGTTAGTCTCCTGCATTCTCTAGTTACTCCCCCAAGTCACGTTGGGAAGCTGTTTAAATTATAAAGTGACATTGCTATATCTAACTTGTCTCCAAATGGCCAACTGCTAAATAACATTTAATAATTTCTATATATTTGAGTTGGTTTCTGTATTCAATTTTAATTGGTCAGTTTATCTAATCCTGGACTCGCACTATTTTTATTTTTAATGCTTTCAGCATATTTTCATATTTGGTAACGGAAGCCTTTCTCTATTCTGCTTTTCCCAAAAGTCCTTCCGGCAGTGGTGGAACACTTGCCTGGTGTGTGCTCCCTCACCTGCACCAGAGAGAGCCTTTCCCGGTGAATCTTAGAATTGTAGCGTTCCCTAAACACTCTTAAGAGAACCGAGGACACAGACACCCGAGGGGCCTGGACAGCGGCCACAGCAGCTCTCCTCATCTCTGCATGCAATATGCTTTCCAGACTAACCAGGTGTTAAGTCACTAAGGAAAACATAGCGTTTGTTCTCTTTTAATAAAGATCTCGTTGAAGGTTTTCATGGTGCTTTCTAATCTCCAGTGCCACCCAAATGGAATCACTATCACGATGTCTTGAGTAGAGACCTCTGAAAAGCACAAAGACAAATGCTCAAGGCGTGTGAGCACAGTACTAGGAAAGGAAGCACAGCCCCTCCACAGTCATGGGAGCAAACGGTGACACCCACCAAACTGGGGACACAGTCTAGACGCCAAGGAGCCAGGCTTGGCCACATTTATACCCAGGAATTAAACAGCAGTTAATAGTAAAAGCCAAGTAAAACACCCAAATTAATAGTAAAAAGCAGAAAGAGGCGATGTGAGGCCACATTGGAAAGAGGGACAAAGTGATCCAGTGACCCTGCTCAAGTTCATATCTGCGGCCCCAAACTAAAGCTACAGGCTTTTGGCTTGATTTGCTTTGGTGAGACAGTGTCTCACTAAGTAGCCCTGGCAGCCTTGGAACTCTCTGTGTAGACCAGGTTGGCTTCAAATTCATAGATTCCGAACCACCTCTGCCTGCGGAGTTCTGGGATTACAGAGATGGTACCACCGTACTGGTGAGATGAACGTGAATAGAGGCCCAAGGACATGGTACTGAGCAAGCAGCCCTAAGGACCACTAAGGTGTGGTCCTGCCCATCCATAACCCACCCCTTGGTGGGGCTTCAGTCTGACCTGACAAGGTTGTCTGAAAAGTTGCTAGAACTCTGTGGAATCTTTTTGTGGCAGACACGTTCTCCTCCCAGCCAGTGCTTCGCTCTCATCCTTTTTCATCTTTCAACGTGAGATTCCTGGAGAAATTCTCATTTCTGGGGTCCATGGTTTCATTCAGTAGTAAGAGAGGTTGAGGGGCACAAATATCTCTTCAGAGTAGCTTCATTCTTGCCATGGGGGTTATATCATTGTGCCATTGTTCTCTATTTCAGAGAGAGAGAGAGAGAGGGAGAAAAAGGGAGAGAGAGATGGAGGGAGGGAAGGAGGGAGGGAGGGAGGAAGGGAGGGAGGGAGGGAGGAAGGGAGGGAGGGAGGGAGGTTGGGTGGGCAATCTTGAAGGACTGTTGGAAGCATCTGTAAAAATTCACAAGCATGTGCCTTTGACCTAGACATAATTTTATGTTCTAAGAGAGTTGTAAAGAAAACATTGGCCATTTTCCTCTCAAATGATCAATTGTAAGCATTTCACATTTCCATAATAAAAATTAATTAAAAAATAGGACAAGGCCCACTGCCATCTAGGGCTGCAGGAATGGGGTCCTTTGCTTTGCCAGCTATAGAAGTAATAAGGCAGGAAGGACTGCGATGAGAAATCTTAGGGAGCCCCAGAAGAGCCGCCTGATGGCACCCAGGAAGCCTGTTCTCTCTTTGGGAGTCCTTAAAAAGATTTTCAGAACGGACTCAAATGAAGCTCAAGGCCATTAAACAGTTAATTAGAGTTGAAAAGAAAAAGCCAGGAGAGGAAAGCTGTAACTCTCGCAGCTGCCTGGAACCGAGGAGAGAAAAACAAAAGTCACACTGCTTTGGATAAGACAGCGTGGAGGTCAGCCAGCTGGGCACACGCAGCTCCGAGGCTGGGGGTTGGGGGTTGGGGTTGGGGGTTGGGGGTTGGGGTTGGGGGGTTGGAGTTGGGGGTGGGGGGTGGGGAGTGGGGGAATGCCTTTAGAAAGAGTGTGGATTCCCAAAGCATTGGTTAGGGAGTTTAAACCTTGTTAAAGTTCTGGCCTGCATTTGCCAGAAAAAGACAGGAGAAAAGAACCAGCAATAGCCGGACCGAGAAGGGCACAGAGGCAGCCCCACCTAAGGGTGGTCCAGCGCAGGGGGCTGCCTGACTCAGGGAGGGCACTAGGGTGGGAATTCTGGGAAGGAAAAGGCACATTGTCTTAAGGTGGACCTGCCTTCCTGGGAGGATCGCCAGGCCCGATTCCGGCCTGTCCCACTGGATTAACCCTTGAGAGGAGGCAAAGGCCTGTCTCCACCTAGAGGTAGATTCCACTCTTTGTACTACTCACTCTTTTACATAGATTGAAGATGGAAGTGAAAATGATGTTGTAAGATCTCTTGGTAATTTCTTCCACACTGTTGCTGCTTCTATTTTTTTTTTTTTTTTTTGTTAGAACATAAACTACCTTCTAACTTCCTGGCTGTCAAGGCCTATCTTGCTCAGCCTTGCTCTCTGCTTCTTGGGGTCACAAACACTGGATTAGACTCTCTTTGGCTCCAACCCATCCAGACTGACGTCACTGAAGCCTTCTCTGGGTCCTTTCACTTGGTTGGGCACCCTTCCTGAGCTTTAGAGGCACAGCTCACACTCCCAGCCTTTGTGGTACAGCCCACCATTCTGCCTTTGTGGCACAGCCCACACTCCTAGCTTTTGTGGCTTCTCATTCTTTTGAGTTTGTTTTGTCTTTCCTATCAGAACTTCAGGATTTTCCCTCTCTCCCCTTAGCTGAGACTCAGCTGAAGACTTAGTACTTTTAGAGTTTGGAGAATGCTGGGGGAAAACATCTGCTTGATGTTTTTAAATGCTTTGTGTCTCTTGTAGGTGGCAAAGAAACACAGCATGATGTTTGGAAATATAATTCTTCAATCAACAAATGGATTCAGATAGAATATTTAAACATAGGCCGCTGGAGGCATAAGATGGTCGTGTTGGGTGGCAAAGTCTATGTAATTGGGGGCTTTGACGGCTTACAAAGGATCAACAATGTGGAGACTTATGACCCCTTCCACAACTGCTGGTCAGAGGTATGGGAGATTGTTTCTGTGAGTAATTTCAGAGCTTAAACAACAACAACAAAACAAAAACCCTGCCTATGGTGGTGGCTAGTGATTGGTCACTTTGCTCCTATAAATCATCTTCTTGGCTCTGAGCTTCTCCCTTCCTAGGAGCCATGAGTCAACATTACTGATCCAGTTCCAGTAATAGCGTTCTTCCAAGTGGCAGGGCTCTGTGTGGCCATTGTCCTGTGCTAGCGAGAGCCCCAGACATGGAGGGAGGCTGAGCCTACTCTAAGATGGTTAACTCCCTTGGTCGCATGTCCTGGCCCAGAATCTGTCTCCTCAGACTCCTTCTGTCCACCCTCTCTTCATACCAGAAGCCCGAGGATCCATTTCCTCCACCTTTTGTGAACCCAGGGTCATTTGGTTATAATTAGAACTCAGGGCGTGTTTATTTTCTCCTCAATGACAGCCATTTACAGGCCTTTGTGCAAATCTCTAGCAAAGCTACCTCTGGTTAAAAACTGCCCCAGGATCAGAAAACAACCTTATCACCAGCGTTTCCAGACCATTCTCAAGTGCAGATTTCCTTTCTTATGGTCAGAGCTTGTTCCAGCTTCAGAAAGTTTAAAACGTGGTCACTGTAAGCACAAGGGAAGGATATCATCATGTTGCCATGACATCCCCCACAGATTCACCAGCATATGCGCATAACCTTAAACCGACATTGGCCCCTAGTAACTGACCACTGAATGACTGTGAATATGCTGGCTTCGTGTGCATAGACATTTAGTCTGGCCTGTATCTCTCCTTCCCTGAGAGCTGGGCTCTGGCGTAAACAAGCAGGAGCAGCTCGGACACAGCTTGCTCCAGGCTTCCTGGAGCCTGTAGAGACAGTGGGTTCTGTTTCTCTCTGCATTTTATTGGGAGCCATGGCTTGGTCATTTCTGTCGAAGCATGCCCAAGCATGTGTTCTGTGAGGTTCTCCCGCAATCTGAGCAGCGCACCGACTTCTTGTGCCCTCTGCCTCTGCAGGCCGCACCCCTGCTTGTCCATGTCAGTTCCTTTGCGGCTGCTAGCCACAAGAAGAAGCTGTATGTCATTGGAGGAGGACCCAATGGGAAGCTGGCCACAGACAAGACTCAGTGTTATGATCCTTCGACCAATAAATGGGTTTTGAAGTCGGCCATGCCAGTAGAGGCTAAATGCATCAATGCAGTGAGTTTCCAGGATCACATCTATGTTGTTGGTGAGTCAGTGATGACTTCTTACATCTGTAGCCACTCGCCCCCGTGGCCACCTGAGAGACAAGATACTATCGTTTTCAGAATGCCTGGGTGATGTGGATAAGGCTGGGAAGGAAGAGAAGGTGGGTTTGGACCAGGCCTTGTTGGGATTCCCCTTGAAGTCCGGGAGGTAGAAACAGGCACACAAAGCATGGGAGCTGTAGTCACAGCGAGTGAAGTTGTTTTGCAAACACGGCAAATACACAGAAATTGAAGCATGCCCTGTAACAAGTGCCCAGCAAATAGGAAACATTCGTATGTTTTAGTTTACATCATGGGAATGAATGTTCCTCTCCTGCTTGGTTTTAGGGGCCTAGAAAATGTAGTCGGTTGAGAGGAACCCTTGGCCAGCAAGACCACAGCTGGCATGTGATTGTTAAAGACTGGTGATTCAGTCCCGCCCATTCCTTAGGATCACCAGGAAGCACTCTATAAAATTACAATAGCCAGGCCTATGGCAGGCATGTGAAATGAGAAGGGGAAGAGGGGTCTCTGGGAATAGTACAGCTGTGTTCTTTAAAACTCCAGCTGATGTTAATGTGCAGCCACGATAGAGAACTACTGATTCAAGAGATGCCAGAATACAAATAGCTTCGGTCCGTGATTAATCAGCGCCAATCAGCGAAGGCATTGAGGGGTAAAACACTGGGATCCACTGTAGAAAACCAAGCTCTGCCTTGCTTCAGGTCTCTTGAAGTTTTGCTTGTGGTCAGGCTCCCAAAGATTTCAAAAGTCCAGTATTAGGATGGGCCTGCTAGGTCGATGTCTTCGATTGATGTAATCTCTAGAGAGATGCTGTTCCTAGTTAATGCCCGATTGATGAACCGCCTCTGCGCATGATCCTTGTGTTACTTTATAAACACTGTGGTTTTAGTGCTTAGGGTCACAGATCAGAACGCAGCCAGGCTGAGGTACCCGAGGCATCAGCTGGGCTTCCTCCAGGGAGCCAGTCTTAAGGTGTGCTTTGCAGCTGTGCTGGTCAGGCATCTTTTCGATCCTGGTCAGAACTTAAAGGAGATGAGGTTTCTCCCACATTACTAACCTGGGGGGTCCATTCTGGCTTTCTGGGAAGAAAGCCGCCAGTCTACTGTTTTCTCTGGTGAGGTGGTAGAGCTGGCCTACTCGGAAGTAGAACTCTGGTGACTAGTGAGAAAAGACCCAGCGTGCCTGTTGGTTCCTTGCAGGCGGTGCCATGCGAGCGCTCTATGCCTACAGCCCCCTGGAAGACAGCTGGTGCCTGGTGACGCAGCTCAGTCATGAGCGGGCCAGCTGCGGCATCGCGCCCTGCAACAACAAGCTCTACGTCACCGGCGGCAGGGACGAGAAGAACGAGGTCATCGCCACCGTGCTCTGCTGGGACCCCGAGGCTCGGAAGCTGACGGAGGAATGTGTCCTGCCGCGCGGCGTGTCCCACCATGGCAGCGTCACCATCAGGAAGTCGTATACCCACATCCGGCGGGTTGTGCCGGGGGCCGTGTCTGTGTGACTGCCAGGGGACCCTCAAGGAGGTGCCCTCGGAGCCTCTGAGCGCTGACTCGGCACCCTGGCTCGCTCAGGTCCCTTGTGAGCCTTAGGCTTGACTTGGATTCAGCACCCTGGCTCGCTCAGGTCCCTTGCGAGCCTTAGGCTTGGCTTGGATTCTGCACCCTGGCTCGCTCAGGGCTCAGGTCCCTTGCGAGCCTTAGGCTTGGCTTGGATTCTGCACCCTGGCTTGCTCAGGTCCCTTTCGAGCCTTAGGCTTGGCTTGGATTCAGCACCCTGGCTCGCTCAGGTCCCTTGCGAGCCTTAGGCTTGGCTTGGGTTTAAGGCTTATCGTGGGGGCACCTTATGAGACCAGCCGGGAATGCTTGTGTGACCGACCTACCTCAGGATGAAGGGTAATGTTTAACATTCCATACATGCCTACCCGCCCTGGCCTGTGCCAGCCACTCATCCATGGTAATTCGCTGAACCGTGGTAATGACCTGCTGCTGGATAGTATCACGCCTGCCTTGGAGGTGAAGAAAAGGAATTTCAGACAGGCCAGCTTTCACCAGCTCACTCAGAGAGCAAGCAGCTAAGCCAGAATAAACCCCAGGTCTTTCCATGTCAGTCGGCGTCTCTCACACCACACGGCTGAACTCGGGAAAACTGAAAGCCAACCCTAAACTTGGCTGGTGTCTCCTGGCAGCGTGGCTGAAGACAAAGGAATAACGGAGTTTTTCTGTGCTGTCCTCCTTTTATTCCTTGTCCGTAGGAGACACTGGTCTTGGAGCCTTTTGGGCCGCTGGTCAAGAGCATCTCTGACGATCTCCCACCGGACACGTCTGCTGGGACTAGCCTGGGAAGGCCCATTTGTTTTGAAAAAAGGGAAAGACATGTCCCGTTTCCCCCACATCGTAACTGTTGTTTTTGATTACAGGATGTGTGTGCCATTTTGGACTAGAACTATCACAGCCAGTTAGTGGCTGGGGGTGGCTGGCTCCGTGGATACAGCTCTTGCTGTACAAGCCTGAAGACCAGTGTTCGGAGCCTAGAGCACACGTGGAAGCAGAGCAGGCGTGGCTGCCTGAAGTCCCAGTGCTTGGGAAGCACACCCAGGGCTTCCCTAGGGCAAGCTGGGCAGGTCAGTCAGTCAGGAGACCGTGTCCGTGAATGAAAACCGAGTGTGATTGCCTGGAAGAGGGCTCAGCCGTGGGAAGTGGGGAGTGACTGAGGAAGTCATTTGACGTCAACTTGGGGTCTTCACACTTGTGAACACACACCCACACCACACACACACATTAAAAAAATAAAATCGAATTAAAAATTTAAAAACGTTTTTGAAGTATTACCTTACCTTCTCAATGGTTTGGTGTCCTGGCCTCTCAGGGTGCAAATACTGTTTTGTGTTTTCTCTCCCCAGCTCTCGGGAACACCTTCAGACTACTGGCCACGCCTTCTAAACAGTGCTCCATTATCCAAGATGCCTTATTCTCATGGCAGAAGCTCTCTTTGTAGAGTTGCACTTCATGTCAGAGGGTCATACTGTGCTCAAACCTCAGCAGTTTGAGAAGTTAGTGGAATTAGAGTTGATAGTGAATTTAATTTTTATTAAAAAGTTATGTCTGGAAGAAACTACTGTTTAAACTAGATTTTGAAACCTTGGAAATTCCAGTTATTTCTACTTCTACCTAGATTTTTGAGGATAAACAGAAATCACATCAGTGTGTGCATTGCTCTATCTTCTCGTCAAGTATGACAGTTCTGCTCCTGGCTATGGGATGGAAGATGGGACAATACCTTTGTATGTTCTTTCTCCTCCATGTTCATACATTTAGAACACATTGTCACTCATGAGCACTAACCACATCCACAGTATTCTCAACTGAAACAGTTCGCTGTAGTTCAACTCATCAAGTATTCATGGAGTCTTCCATGCTTGTTGAGACTCAGGTCTGACTAGTGAATGACAAATCCCTTCCCTAGAGACACTCAAAAAATAAGTAAAAGGCTCACCAGACAATATTCTAATTCACCCTTTCCTTGAGTTAACTGAAAGTGAGAGGCGCATGAACTCATGAGGCTGCACCCATGTTTTGGCTGCCTTCTGTGGGTCCCTTCTGGAATTCAGGCATTAAAGTTAGCTAGTCGAGTTGCTTATGTGATTCTCTCTGAGCTTGAGGGTGGAATCCATTTGTGAGCACAGGAAAAGTCAGTCTGGTCCAAAGACCGGTCCAGGGAAGAGCTGCTGAAGAGCAAATGCCATGGCAACCTCATCAGCATGTACAGAGAGTTCTCCCTCAGACCTCTGGAGAGCTGGTGTCCACCTTTAGATGAGATTGATCGGTACACAGTTCTGAGTTTGTAGCACACTGAGGAGGTACGGACTTTGAATCCGACTTACAGATCTCACTCAAAGCAGAGGTCTTGAGTTTCAGGACTAGTTCAGAATTCATAGGAGCTCCTAAGGAAGGGCTGTGTGATTTTTCTACTACCAGAAAAGCATGTGAATTGTAGCAAAGTCACAGGTACTTGTTTGTACTCAAGAAACAAGGATCCTCAGGAGTGCATGGGAGTGGGAACACACATTCTTGTGAAAAAGATTTAGCCTTCTACATTTGAAGCTGCCCAGCTCATGAAAAAAGAAAAATCATTGTCACTCTGAGTACAATTTGTAGAGCAATCAGGTTTTGTGGGTTTCCAGGTGTCAGAGGTGTGGGCGTGGTTCTCAAAGGCAGGCGCTAAGGCTTTCAGGTTCTTGTGCCTCTTTATGGTGAATCCTACAGAGACACGAGAATGGTTCCGGAAAAGAGCTGGCTTGTTAAGGGAGATACAGAAAGGCCTGGAGTGTGCGGGTGACCTGCCTCCAAGAGTGCTGGAAGGGAGAGAAGGGCTGGAGTGAGGCTCCAGGGAGCTAGTGCCATAGTACCGGTATCACCCAAGTTCACACAACACAGGTTTCCCAGCATGCTTTCTTGGCTGAATGAAGTTAGACCAAAGGCTTTCCCCTGATGTCAGCCTTTGTTAATCTTTGGAATTTCCTCTTACACTGTTTTCCTGCCACATCCGTACTAACCGGGTTTCTTTTCTAAGAGGTCTCATTGCTCTTTTGTTGTGATAAAATAGCACATTGTGATACATACACCACGACCCAAATCAACTTCTTTTAGCTTACAGTTCCAAAGGAAGTCTTTAACAGTGAGGAGGCATGGCACAGGTAGCCAGAGCCAGAAGCTGAGAGCCCGATCTTTAACCACAAACGCAGAAAAGAGAGTGGGAAAGGCTATGAACTCAAAAGCCTATCCATTCATGTGCTTTCTCCAGCTAGGCTGCACCATCTCTCCAAATAGTGCCGCCAGCTTGGGGACCGAATGTTCAAATACCTGGCAGAGCCTATGGGGGGGGGGTATTTCTTACATAAACTGCCACAGAAGGCAAAACCCAAACTAAAATAAAACAAAAACCCCAAACAGTACTAACAAAACTACCAAAATCATCAGCAAATTAACTATTCTAACCTACATTACCACTATGGGGAGAGCTGGGGACTACCTCAGAGCCCGAGTACCCCAGGTCTCAATGAGGATGCCACAAGACATTCAGTATTGCAGTCTACATGCTGAAGCAGATCCCGAGTGGCCGAGCATCCCTGATAGAGAGGAGGTGGAGGTCAGCAGCTAAGGATGAAGGTATGGAAAAACAAAGATCTCTGGAACCCCAGGAGTTCCTCAGCTTTTGCCACCTGGTGTCAGCAAGCGGGGGACGCCCTCTTGTGCAAACCAGGCTCATTCTTCCAGCTGCTGTCTGAACCTAGGTGGTGACTGTGGAACGTCTGTAGCCTCTCTTGCCTTCTGAGATGGGTTCCAAATCGTCAGTGCCTAGGGATACCTTTTTGACATGCCTCAAATCAAACCCTGAAGCTTTAGATCTCATTGGCCTCAGACTCATGACTTAGGCTGCTCTCCTTCCATATCTGGCTCGAATATCAATGAGATGATGGCCATACCTGGCCTGAATTAGGAATTTTTGATTTCTAAGTCCTCACAGACTTCATCAGGCAAAATGGCAAATGGTCTGAAGTCCCCTCTGCCCAAACTTCCTCTGCCCAAGATTTCAGTCCTGCCTGTAGCCTACCTCTCTGTCATTCTTGGTCCATCCCACTCGTGTGAGTATAGGAAATCCTTAACTACCCCATGCCACACACCAAGAGGGAATTTATGGTCTTTCTGGGCCTCTTCAAATTTTCTAAATCTGGATCCCTAAGTTAGGGATCTTTTATTACTCATCCCCACCAAAGGGTCTATCAAGGAAGTTCTCCCCTCTTCCTCCTCTGTCCTTAATACTACTGACAATTGAAAACAGTCTCTGTCTAGAGTCTTTAACCTCCCACTCCCAGACCCTTCCTGGCCATTCTTTCTCATTTTACATTACCCAGGGCCATGCCCTTGCTGTCCTCTGTCACTTAAACCCCAACTGAATCCAAACAACTAGACTTGTTAATGGGTGTCTTCCTTGTCCTTCCTATAGACCATGGCTAATGCCACCGTTCTCATCCCCGAGGCCAACAAAACATCCCTCCACAGTCCCTTCACTATTTTTTCACACAGTCGATTAAAGATCCCATTAACCATGATAATCTCCTAACCCTAGCACTTTCACAAGTTCAGGGTCTCCATGCCTATCTCCTGGACCCCAACCTAACCTCCTAACCCTCCCCAAATCCTCAACCCCACCATCTTACTACCCACCACCTCCTCCAAGGCCCTCTTTCTGCCCCCTCTTCATTGCCACATCAAATGTCGCCCTCAGCTCACTCATAGATGGGAGCTTACTCATGACACCCCATTTTGTGGCTGACTCTCCCATCATCTAGGGCCAATCTTACACTCTTGCTGAGGCTAGACCCTTCCTCCATCACACCACCTTGTACAAGGCAGAACTCACACTCCTAACTGCAGACCTGACCTTGGCTGCAGTAAACAAGTCAACATCCATGTAGATTGAAAACACACCTATCATGTTATCCACTCCAACGTCCTAGTATGGAGACAGAGGGGATTTCTCAACCAAGAGGGAACTCCCATCTTTAATTTGGCCCAGATCCATAATCTCTTAAATGCTGCTTTACTGAGACAGCCTCAGTTGTTCATTGGCACAGGACAATTACGCTGATAGTCTCTTCAAGGAAGTTGCCTTCACTCATCTCTACCTTACTGATTCCACCTCTGACCACAAAATCTCATCACTCACACCTGTCAGGCTCCCATCCCCAAGCCACCCCATTCCCTAGTGTTCCTCTGACCAAAGACATCTTCACCTACCTACACTCTCTGTTTCAGCCCTCTAACCAAGTTCTACCCCAATTTTTCCAAGAACACTCTCCCCTCCAACCTTCAGAAAAACAGCTCCAAAGGGACTTATCTAACTCCCGTGATACCTGCAAGAGAACCCACCCCAATTCAAACCTTAGACACTACCATTTCCTACACACCAAATGCCTGCCATGGTCTGGCAACTGGACTTTACCCATATGCCTCCTGTAAAAAAAAAAAAAAAAAAAAAGTTTAAATATCTTTTATTAATGGTAGCTACATTTTCAGGATAGGTAGAGGCTTTTCCAATTACTAACAAAAAGGTCTCTACTGTGGCCCATAGCTTAGACTCTGAACTTATCCCCTCCCTCTTCCCACTTGATCCTCCCATTCTTGTCCTGCCTACCCAGCTCCAGTAAAATCGATTCTATTTTCCCTTCCTAGGGAGATACATTGTTCTCCCCACCTCCCCAGTTCCTTCCTCTATACCTAACCTCTCTGGGTCTGTGGATTGTAGCTTGATTATCATTTATTTAATGGCTAATATACAGATATGACCAAATAAATAGATACAATATTTACCCTTCTGGGTCTGGGTTACCTCAACCAGGATCATTTTTTTTTCTAGTCCATCCATTTCCCTGCAAACTTCATGACATTATTTTTTTTTAAAGCCAAGTAATATTCCATTGTGCCAATATACCACACTTTCTTTATACATTGTTCTGTTGAGTGACTTTTAGATTGTTTCCAATTTCTGGCTATTATGAACAGAGCAGCAATGAACACAGTTGAGCAAATGTTCCTGTGGTAGAATGCAGCATCCTTTGGGTATATGTCCAAGGGTGGTATAGCTAGATCTTGAGGTGGATGAATTCTCATCTTTCTGAGGAACCATCATACTGATTGCCATAGTGGCTGTACAAGGGGAGGAGTGTTCCCCTTGCTTCACATCATCACCACCATGAGCTATCACTTATGTTTTTGAACTTAGCCATTCTGACAGGTGTAAGATAGAATCTCAAAGTAGTTTTGATTTTCATGTCCCCAATGGCTAAGGATGTTGAACAATTCGTTAAGTGTTTCTTGGCCATTTGAGTTTCTTCTATTGAAAGTTTTGTTTAGATCTGTACCCCATTTTTAAAATTGGGTTATTTGGTTTTTTATATCAAATTTCTTGAATTCTTATATATTTTGGAAATCAGTTTTCTTGTGGA